CTTTCATGAAATCAGTGTTATTCTTTATCTTGCATGAAAATGTATTGAGAAATTTTCCTCTTATATTTCTTTGATCATTGTAAACATGAGGATGTAAAATTTAGGTGGACTAATAATGAGTTGTAGGTGATATCTATCTGAAGTTGTCCCGTAGTAAGCAGCCATTGTGGGCCTTTCATTCAAAAACTTACTTTCCAGCATAGTGTAACCTTATTCTTTAAAACTTGTATCATGCACAATTTGTTTTGCTCCATGTGAGATAATGATTTTGAAATTTTGATCAAGTAAAAACTACTATCATATTGACAAGGTTTTTTAAATAACATATATCTCCCACCCTGCCTTAGATTAATTAAATGTAATTATTTAAATGAAAATATGGGATTTATTTATGGGTATTTGTTTCATTCATTTTTTGGTGCTTTTCATTTTTTCTTGATGAAATACTCCATTTATTTATTTACTTGAATACTGCAGAAAAATATGCTGCTTGAAATTCAGAAGGGCTTTGACAGAAGACTGAGACTATATGATATTTGATGTTGCTATGGGAAACTGCTTTGCAAGAACATTTGCAGAGCAGATGGACCACGATAAATAAAACAGATACAGGTATTGAATAGATATTGTTTAATGTTCTGTGCAAAAACAGGAAAACAGGAACTTAAATCTATGTAACGTAGTTCTTTGATTCGCCCTCTTTTTAATGGATATGCTGTTTGATATGAGCAGTTCCATAGTGAAGTTTTCCTGTAAATTTTATTTTCAACAAATCAAAGAAAAAGTCAGGTTTTTCTGCTTCATCTTCTATGTTATGCAAAACAGTAATGTCCTAACTTTATGCTGTAATCTACTGCTTTTTGGGATAGCCTCTAAAGATACATCTAAGCACACAAACACTGTGGAATGAAAAATCCTTGTGTTTCAGATGTTATAATTTCGTTAGCTTCACATGCTCTTGACTGTTCTTCTGTAACCTTATACACTAGCTTTTTTCCCTTGATTTAAAAAATAAAAAGGATAAGATACATACCCTGTTTAAGAACTAGAATGTCTCTGTAATCATGTGTTTGGCACAGAAGTTTGTTTCCATAGCAACATGAACACAAAAGATAGCCCTGTGACGATATAAATAAAATGTGCCTTTGTATGAGTATATATGTACAGAAACATACTGTTTGTTTAACATGTATTCTTTGTTCTCCCTGGCAGTGAATAAAAGAGGCACGTGCTGTTTGCTTTTTCTTTAAGGAAATAGGTCATTAGAGAATTTGAAATATAATTTCTAGTCATATCTTTTCAACAGCTCAAATTCTAACTTGTGAAAAGAAAAGCTTATGGAAAAAGAAAAGCTTAATCTACTTCCTTGAAGATGTATGATTTGAACTGCTAAAGGTTTTTTTCCCCTCTAAGTCATATATTGACTACAAAATATTTCTTTGAACTTTCTACAGTCTAATTACGCTTCTCTTCTCATGGGTTATAAAACTTACTCTATGGGTTGATTACTCCACATGCAGTGGAACAGTTCTTTGGGTCATGCTGTCATAAACCCGTGAATGCTTACATAAGTGTTGGTGTTTTCATTTACTATGAAATACCATGAAATACCATTCCACCAAACTCCATACAGTTGATTCACATTTTTAGTGTGCATGTTATCCAGTTTTTTTGAGTAGTCAGAGTAATGTTTGTTTGCTTTTTCAGTATATCTTTCCATTATGAAACAAAATACATTTGATATATTTGTTGTTGATCCATTTTAAAAATCAAACGTGAATATCTGCCCGAAGTTCTACGTTTATGTATATTTGCTTTCTCATGGGAAACTGGGTGAGTTAGAAGCAGAAATTATAGAGGAAAATTTTTGTCTTTTGCAATCACAAAATCACAGAATCATTAGTGTTGGAAGGAGCCTCTGGAGATCACCTGGTCCAACACCCCTGCCAAGGCAGAGTCACCTAGATTAGGTTACAGAGGAATGCATCCAGGTGGGTTTTGAATGTCTCCAGAGAGGGACTATCAGAGTATCTGAATTTTTTTCTGTTGCTTTTAATCTGTGATTGTAAAGTCTTGCCATTAATATCAGAGAGGCCAAAAGTCATGTTGGCATGACTATCAGGGTTACTATATGTTGCTAGCTTTCAGCTATAACCTTTTTATTCCTTTTACACTAGCTAAAGCACAGTGAGGTTGATTGTACATTTTCTTCCCATGCATCATGGAGAAGAGATTTCATGGGTGATTAATTTAACCTCTTTTCAATTTATTTTAAGCAAAGACCAGTTAAATAAAACACTTCACAGAATCATAGAATTGTTGAGGTTGGAAGGGACCTCTGGAGATTTCCCAGCCTCCTGGTCAAAGCAGGGTCACCCAGCACATATTGCCCAGGTCTATGCCCAGTTGGGTTTTGAATATCTGCAAGGATTCAGATGTATCGTGGGCAAACCATGCCATTGGTTGACCACCCTCCCAGGAAAAAAAAAGCCCACAACATCAAGTGGGATATCTTGTACTTAATTTATGCCTGTTGTGTCTTTTCCTTTCACTTGATTTTCCTTTCACTTTTCCTTTCACCGCCTTCCTTACTCTACCCCTAAACAGGTATTTGTAAGCACAGAACAGATTCCTTTTAGTCTTCTCTTCTCAAGGCCTCCATCTCTCATACCCTCTCCTCATACAAAAGGTTCTCCAGTCCTTTAATTACCTCCATCGTCTCTTGCTGGCCTTGCTCTGCTAAGTCTATGTCTCTGTTTTACTGGGTAGCCCAGAACTGGGCCCAAGTTCAGGGTGGCTTACCAGTGCTGAGTAGAGTGGAAGGATCACCTCCCTCAATATGCTGATGATACTCTTCCTAATGCAACCCTGATAGCTGTGCACCTTCTTTGTTGTGAGGGCTCATTGCTGGCTCATGGCCAGCTTGTTGTCCCTCAGGTCCTTTTCTGCCAACATGCATGGAATTATTCCTGCCAAGTGCAGGAATTTGCATTTCCCTTTGTTGAATTTTGTGAGGTTACTGTTGGCCCATTTCTCAGCCTGTCACGGTCTTTCTGGATAGCAACACAACCCTCTGATGTATCTAATACTCTTAGTTTTGCATTATCTGTGCACTGTGTCTCACCTTGGAAGTTATTGATGAATTTCTACTGAAATTTTTGTGTTTCATCAGTTTGTCAGGGAGAAGACAATGGGAGGCTCTGAGAGAAACATTATTTAAGTCAAGATAAACAATGTTCAGTGTTCTCTCCTTGTCCACTGGGTCAGCCTTCGGTCAGCCTTCTTTTTGTGAAAGTCTATCAGGTTGGTCAGGCACAATTTCCCCTCCATATATCCATGCTCACTATGCCCAAACAACTTCTTACCCCACTTGTGTTTGGTAATGGTTTTCAGGTTTAATTTCTCCATTCCTTTCCCAGGAGTCGAGGTGAGCTGTGACTGACTTTATTTAAAGTAGAGATGATATTTATTTTCTTCCAGTCCTCAGAGTTTCCTCCCTCCACCCTGATCATTGTGACCTTTTTTGATGTTTCTGTGGTTGAGTGCACTCATGATGACATCAGCCAGCGCTCAGTACATGTGGGTGCATCTCATTATGGCTTGTGGATCTGTGTGTGTCCATTTTGTTTAAATGCTTCCTAACCTGATCCTCCTCCACTGAGAGGAAACCTAACTTGCTCCAGGCTTTCCCCCGGGTCACAGAGACCTGAGATTGCTGAGGGATGGTTTTCTCACTAAAGAGTGAGATGAGAAAGGCATTCAGTGTGTTGGCCTTCATATCCTTTGTGAGGTCTTCATCAGCAGTGGGCCACCATTTTCCATAGTCATCCTTATGCTATCCTTATGCTACCGATAAGAGCAGCAGAAACATTTTGTGTTCCCTTTCATGTTCCTGTGAGCTATTTACCCATGTCTGTGATCCCAGTGAAGTTGTCATTCTCCAACTGCATGCACCTCTTAATTCTGCCTGTTCCCTATGCTGTATGCATTAACATACAGGCTCTTTGGAGAGCTGATTTCCTGGAAAAGGTAGGCTAGTAGGCTTTTCCTGTGTACATGCACACAGTTGCAGCTGGACCCTTACAGCCCTGTTTTTTTGCTTACAGATTTCCTCCTGTTTACATTGCCGGACACTCTTTGCTTGCCAACCTGGTCCTTCACTTCTGATTGCTGGTCATCCTCTCCTAACCCTGTTATTCCTAGTTTGAAATTCTCATTACTGGATTGGCCAGCCTGTTGACAAAAATATTTTTCCCCACTTTTGTGGACAGCATCGCTGCTAAACAATCCTTTGTCCTCTTAGAACATCCCATGATCATATGAAATCCAAACCCCTGTTGCCCACACCAACTGCTCAACCAATTGTTGACATGTGGGATCTGTCAACTCCTTCTTCACTCTTCTGCTTTTCTGAAAGCATTGAGGAGAAAACTGCCTGAGCTCCCCATGCTCTTGACACCCCTGCCCCCACACTCCCTAACAACCCCCCCGCATACACGAACAGCAATGTAGTAAATGTTAAATGTTTTATCTGTTGTACTCTTTTGTGAGCAAATTTATGTAAAAACATTGCTGGAGAACTAATTATATGTTTTGGCTTTTTTTTTTTTTTTATTAAGCTTTGTTTATTCTTAAATGTTATTCTGCCAATACTGTATGGGTTGGCTGGTTATAAAAAGGCTTTTTCCATTAGTGTGGCTGATAGAGGGAAAATCATGTATGGTTTTCCTGCACTTAGGAAAATCAAAGATTAATCTCAAATCAATCTGAAATTCTACAGAAAGATTAATGGTTATCAGTATCTGGTGAAGAATTTGATAAAAATTGTTTAAGACTACCTTTCAATTCCAGAATTTTTATTGTAGGTTGTATCATCTGGAAGACACCAGCATAAAATATTGTCCCAAACCTTGCTTCATAGCATGTTTTAAGACAATGAAATAGATGCTATTTTAACATTCTAACTGGTTTCACATGTGTCTTGTTTCTGTTTGTTCTAGGAAATGAACCCAGGAAGTAATGTGAAGGGTCATGTGAAGCTCTGTCATAGCAGAAATTTTCTAAAAGATTGCTTTACCTGTAAGTTCTTCTTTTCTGTTGTTAAATGTTAAATGATATTGTACAGTTAGAAAAAAAAAAGTTTATTTTGAACTGGACTTGCAACTTGGTGGTGAAGAATATCTTAGCAAGTGCATTACATTTAACATCTACTATTATTAACTTTATGTTTTAGGGAAGAGCAAGCAAACGTTTTTCTTCTTTTATTAAGGTTTTGAATCTAATGAGCAAGATTTTCATGCTGAGTCGTTATAGGTTATACATCCACTGTGATGCATGCTAAACTGCAAGAGCTTATTTTTCAGAAATTCTTTTAAAAGCAAATGAAAGATGAAAATCATCCAAACTCATATGAGAATGTGAAACTTTACCACTAAAAGTTCTTTAGCAAAGATTGCGTGTGCGGATGCCTGTTGTGACTCAGACATCTTCGATTTTCAGAGTTATTAAATTATATAATAGTGCCCTTTACAGTTGTGTCACTTGTGGCAAAGAATTTTCTTCAAACTACAGTGAACTTGTTTAATTTTACATACATCTCACAGTAAACTCCACTTAGGAATTTAAACTGTTGTTTTCATCTCAACTCCAATTGTCTAAATCAAAATATTTAAGTGAGATGAACTTGTCTTCCTAGCAATATTGCAAGAAAAAGTATTAAAAGATCCATTTTACATAAAGAACAGAAAACATTAGGCTTGATTTTGACAGATACATGTAGGTGGGGGTAGAACTGAGAGCAGAATTCTGAAGTTCTTAGTCCCCATCAAGTGGTATAATTCAAAAATATATAGATAGGCCTAAAAAGTGTATCAGGAAGGAGAATGGGAGTTTGCAAGCTAGAATTTAGGCAGTATATTAATTTTCTCCCTTTTGTATGTAATTGTCATGATTTGACTAAACATCAACTAGATATCAAGATCTTGAAAACTTTAAGGAAGAAGGTACTGATGAAAAATGTTTCAAATTTGATAATAACAGTTTTAAAAAACTTAAAATAATAATTTCAGATTTTTTTCCTTATTTAGCTCTCTATTTTAAAGTAGCAGCAAAGTCTATACATGGGCAGCACAAGTAATTTAGTTTGACATAAAACCTGCAACGAAATAAAAACTTGGAAACACTAGTCTTCCACAATTCAAGATCTTTATGAAGTTTCAGAAAATGTCTTGATATTTATTCTGTTTTTTTTCAAAAAGTACTTCTTTGTCTCAGTATTTTTTTAGTACTCTGATGTAACTTGAGACAACCATAAATTAGGTACAAATACAAGAAAATCTGTTAGAAATTAGAATCTTAATTCTGCACTTTGAGTTGTAAAGTGAAAACTGAACATTATTGTCTTTCTTGTATTAATACTCACACAGTACTGGTGCAACTTCAGCAATTCCCCTATATTATCTTAAATGTATTAAAATAACTGATGATGTGCATTTCCTTTGGTTTTATCAAAGAATTTAGAGAGGCTATTTTAGGATAATTCAAGGAGACTTTTACAGTTAGTCAAGAAACTGCTGCTTTGATAATGCTGTCTTAATAACTGAATTTGTCAGATTTTCAGTATTATTTAGGACTAGTCAGACAAGTGGATTTCCAGCATCATAATGGTAGCCTTAAAAAAACCCTACACAAACTGATAAGAGCTAAGATTGAGTTAGAATTGTCTAATATATTTTAATTTTGTCTTCTTTTTCAAGTAATTGCTCTGTTCATGTCTTCATGTTTCCCTGAAAAATCCAAGTATTTTGTTTGTGTGTACCTGTAGATATAGAAGTGTGTGTCTGCAGATGTGTATCAATTAGAGATATTTATATTCATTGAAGATAAGACAACATTTGGGACAAAAGTACAGAAGTGACTTGGAAAATTCTTAGGTGATAACATGGAGAAAAGTCTTTGACAGGATGCAAACATGCTGTATTGCACACTGAACAATAAAGCACATTTGCAGCCTCCCAGACAACAAATGCATTATTTGGAGTCCTGAAAATATACTGATTTCTGTCTGATTTTAATACTGTGACTTCATTTGAGGACAAAATAGCAGAAAAATCTATTACTATATAGTTATAGACAATTTTGAAGTCTAGTTAAAAAGCTGGCAATACTTCCTACTGAAGACTGCAATTGATTTTATAATTCACATATTCAATCATTATATTGGTATAAATATATATATATAAACAGAATATATATATATATATAAACAGAAAAGTCAACATAGAGAGGAAAAAGGATGATATTATTACTACTATTATTATTTTCTGAGCACAGGTCGCTACAAGAGAGAGAAATCTAACATTTTTAACCATCAGATAGTTCTCAAGTCTTTTTGTTAGAAATAATTCCATACTGTTAATTGTTATATTGATTAAAAGTCTTTCTGTTATAAATTTATTGTATGTGGTAATATTCTGAATGAATTAATCAGTGTTGTAAAAGTGGCTGTCATGACATACAGACAAGTAACTATATAACTCATTGAGATTTGTAGATCGTAGTGGCAATTAATTATGATCGGGTTTGTAATTATTATATTTTTCTCCCAAAAGGAATTTGCATGTATTATTTCTATTAATGTTAGCTGGTGAACAAATCATAGCATCATAGAATAGTTTGGGTAGGAAGGGACCTTAAAGATCATCTAGTTTCAACTCCCCTGCCATGGACAGGGACACTTTTCACTAGATTAAGGTGAACAAAGCCTCATCCACTTGGCCTTGAACAATTCCAGGGATGGGGCACCCATAACTTCTCTGGACAACCTGTTCCAGTGTATCACCACCCTTTGCATAAAGAATTTCTTCCTAACATCTATTCTAAATCTCTCCTCTTTTAGTTTAAAACCATTCCCCCTTATCCTATCATTAACCACTTGTGTAAAAACTCACTCTCCCTCTCTTTTATAAGCTCCCTCTAAGTACTGAAAGGGCACAAGTAAGAAAACAGGAATATTTTTCTACTTCTCCACCCCCCCAGCTAGATTGTTCTATGTTAAACTGGTCACCATCAAAATAATATTTTTGTCCTGTGCTTATAAAAGATCAAACTTCAGGTATCTTAATATGTCTTAATAAGTAGTAGCACAAAGCCTACTTCCATATTTTTTTAGAAGAACCAGAATTTCAAAATATGATAGCCTTTCACTGTGACAGAAATTTAAGAGTACAATCATTATGTTTACACATTAAATTATTCCTCTTTATGAAAGGCATGTTTGCTGATGAGTTCACCTTTTTCTGTGAATACTTCCCTTGCTGGATCTCTGGAGAACTTAGCTTTTTCTCCTATTCTTTTCATGCCCTCTGAAAAAAGAGATCTGAAATCTTCTCTTGATTCCACTGGCAGTACAGAGTTGGGTCAATTGTTTGGAGATCCTGATGAGAGTCTAGTGCAAGTAGGGAAAAAGGTGAAACTAACCCAGTTAAAAACCAAAAACACCCTACCAAAACCAAGAGTAAGAATTGATGTCTTTAGAAACTGGTAAAGAATAGCAAAGATTTTTTGTTGTAGAAAATTCCAAGACCCTAAGAGCACATTAATTTCCAAGGAGTGTCTTGCACAACTCTAATTAAGGTTTCAGTGATCTCTGAGGATTGAATCTTCCACTGCTCTCCCCACGCCTGCCTTTTGTCTTTCTGAACTAAACTTAGACTTGAACTTTTATATCATGTGTTGCCTGGCATAAATTTTCATGTCCAGTTGGGTGAATATATTCAGGGGATACAAGTTATAACTGTAGCATTTTTGCATACTTTAAGCATCTTCCTGATCATAAGCTTGTACAGTGCTAACTTGCAGAGTAAGGAGAATAGAATTATTGTAAAGGTCTTTCATCTTTTGCTTTATTACTTTTTTTTTTTTAATAAGGGTTCTGTTGAGGAATATAAATAGATATATCTGAAGTGATGACACTAAGAAATACAACAGCTGTCCCTGTTGCTTGATAATTTGCTTTGCTGAGGTATAATTTCATGCTTTGTTAAAATCAGACAGATATTACCTGTGATTTGCTGAAGGTGAAATAAGAGGACAGGCTCTGTGAAAATTCTATGTTTTTAAAAATATATGGTACCTAATACTAATTGAAAGTAGTGGTCAGGAAAAAGTGTCCTGTAAGTTAAATATGTTGACATGACCACTGATGAAACTAAAACAAAATATTTTATTCTTTACAGACAGTATGAAATCAATGTTTTCTTTAGGCATAAACTTCCTAAATCTCAGGTAGTGTCAGAATGCACGTGTAGACATCAAAATGGTGCTAGTGAACATGTGCACAGCATTCATAAGCCGCCATGGCTTTATTAGCTGTTGACCATAAGGAAAACTGGAGAATCATGTGAGCTGCCTTAGAAATTAAGAGGTTGATGGCTTCTCAGGGAATTAGCAGTGCCAAATTTGAAAAAGTACCGTGGGGAAAAAAAAAGGCACACAAATAAAAAAAAATATTGCAAAGAATTTTCAGGAACTGAAGAGAAGGTACTCTGTTTTGATGAAAAAAAAAAATAAAAAAATTTGAGGTCCAGTGGGAGAAAAGGGAGGGAATGATACAAGCCATGAGTACTTCTGACTAATAGTTGTTATTTTGTATTTTTGATTAGTCTAATGGTTTTCAAATTTAGCAGAAGACAACTTCTTAGTTTATTTTCACTGTTATGAAAATATACATTAATTCTATATATTTTTTTTTATAATTAATAATAAGTTTCTGGTTAATTATGAATGGTTTACAGAATGTATGGGTAGGAATATAAATGCTTTGATTCCCTCATTTAGCATGGTGTGGTTATATCATATGCTTCCAAATTACACAACAAGATTTGGCTTCACAACTTCTCTCAAGACTGAGTTTCCATCTGTCTTGAGGTTACTGTCTTGACCATGCTGTAGCAGTAGCTTGGAAGGGAAAGAATGAGAACCATTATGTAGCCTGTCATTTTTACTTCACCTGTTTATTACACTCATTAGCTATTACTCTGCAATTAGTCCATAGACAGGAAACGTTATCTAGGATTAAG